TTTTTTTTTTTTTTTTTTTTTTTTTTTTTTTTTTTTTTTTTTTTTTTTTTTTTTTTTTTTTTGCTTCCTTATTTGAAAGAAATATAAATCATATTAAAGTAGTGAAAAAGTATTGTTGTTTCAACATGCGACATAGAAATAACTTATTGATATTTGATATACGGAAAAGTGGAAAGGAAAAGTTGCTACGCCATGTCTACCAAAAAAAGAGTATGAAAATGGGTCAACTAAGTGCTTTTTAAGCAAGTTTCAGGATATGAAGTAAATTGGTATTGGTAAATTTTATATTTAAATCTGAAAAGGTCAGTTACCATGTTTAGTAAATGAATATTGATTAAAGATTATTATTATCATTTAATAATTGCTTAAATTTGTATATGCTTTGAACTTTATTCTAATTTTGTTTGTAAAATCTAATGTAATTTTCTTTTTAAAATTTCGCATTGAAGTGACACTGATAAATGTGAATTCAATATTTTAAAAAATTGTGGGAATTAACGAGTTGTAAAGAATAATTTTATTAAATCACTTTTACCAAATTTTATAATCACTTTTAATACAATCATAATAAAAAAAATTCAAACGTAGCCAAATGGTATTATACATAATTGCACTAATTTCATACTTGGCTGATTAGTTGGGCTTAGGACGTTGTTAATCTAATTTAGTTGTTTACTTAAGCTATGCCTTTCAAGCAATTCAACTTGATTAACATAATTGAGGTTTTATATGCATCACTCATTATAATATTATTCGGAGTATTGTTCATTCATGAAATCAAGAAATATACTTATTTTACATTGATGTCCATTTGCCTGACATCATTAGCAAACCAAGTGCCTTCTTAATAATGATATTAGTTTCAAGATGCACATAAGATCGCTTTCCACACTTGAAGCTATATTAGTTTGTGTGCAAAGTAAGATTGTGACATGACATATTATTAACCCACGACGTGAATGTAAAATTATTGACGAAACTTTATATGTGCTTCTGTTTGATCTTATCTTAATCAATTGTGTCTCATTGGTAGGTTTATCTCCATAGTTGCTTCAATCAAAGCATACATTTTAGTTTGAAGAGGAAAAAGGTCATGCATCAAGCACAAGATGGATTCCTTCACGCAATTTCGCTTCTTCGACAAACACAACTGATCCAAGAACAACCCTAAAAGTTGATACTGCAAGCACTGTGACTTTTTGGCAATTTTGGACACTAACCCTTAGTTCTACTGTAATATCGATCATAATAAACTTAAACGAACTTGTGATAGGTGGTTTCTATTTGGTCACATCTATTGGAGACTCAAAGTCCATTAAACTCTGTGGGTTAAAAAAAAATAGTTTTTTAACAATATTAAAAAAAAAAAAAGTATGATCAAAATTGCATATTAATGATTCAATCTATTAAATTAATAAAAAAATCTTAAAAGACCAAAAATAAATTTTTTTAAAGAGAAAAAAAAAAAAAGAAAAGAAAACATTGGAGTTTCTTATACAAAGGACATCGCGTGTAACGTGACTTCCCAAATCCGTGAATCAATCAATAGGTTGGTAAAAGCGAAGGCATTATATATTCTGGCGCCATTACCTTCGCGCCAAAAGCAACTCTTCCCGCCAATTCCCTCTCTACATAAACCCTAAAACATCTCTACAATTTTCATTGAATCCTTATTCCACCTCCTCTACAAATCTTCACCATGGTGGTTCCTCTCGGCCCCGGCAAGTTCTACGGCAGCAGCCTCCCTCGTCCGCGCTATTACATCGATGTCAAGCTCAACAACGAGCGTATTGATCCACCTACGCCGGTCCTCGATCCGCTTCTCTCATGGGCAAACGAGGCTCATTGGTCTATGGGTGGCCTCAGCTTCAATCGCCTGAGGCTTCAAGGTCGAATCGAAGGTAATGTCCACAAACTTCGAGCCGAGCGCGAGAAGGTTGTTAAGCTGGACTCTGCGCCAAAGAGATCTAACCCTGACGACGAAGCTGCGGACGATCGCCAATTCAAGAAGTCGACATCTTTATCTCCACCGCCGGCGCCGATGGCAGCCAAGAGACGGCGATTTATGGCTCTGTTTGACGATGATGATGATGATGTTGGCGTGTACAAGGAAGAGACTGGAGTTGTGAAGAGGAGGTTGGTGAAGAAGCTGGGAGATGATTTTGATCGAGTGGCTGCAGAGAGTAAGGGCAATCAATTAAAGAGGGATAAAAGCTCGGAAATCAATGGGGTTTGTGAATCTGTAATGAAGATCGTTGAAGAGATTAACGATGAAAATACAAGGGGGAAAAAGGTCAACACTGAAAGAAAACGGAAGAGTAGTGGAAAAGTGGAGACTGGTTCTGTTTCTGGGACAAGAACATCTCCCAGATTGGCTAAATTGATTTGATATATGGATATAGTATAGGGTGTTAGCTTCTGTTTTTTTCTTCTCTTAATTCTTTCTTGGTTTCTGGTATTCATAACTGGGCCAAGTTCTATTATGTTGCTGTTTTCTTTGTTTGGCTGTGGAAATGTGATAATGGAATGTGGTTCTGCAATTTAAAGGTCCATATGATTGGTGAATAACACAATTGCTATCTTTATCTTTTGGATGAAATTATCTGAAGATTGCCTCCTGAGTTCAAGGGGGAAAACCATCAATCTAACCCCTTTGATCTTATCTCGGGAAAAAAACTCGTTTTCCCGGGGTAAGCATGGTGAAAGGAGCTGAAATTGAAACTAAACTTACTGCTGATAAGGTGTTCAAAAAATTCTGCAATGATATATTAAGCTGTTATGTCTTCAGTGCCCCTCTGCAAGCTTTTTTCATTGCAAAAGGATGGCAGCCTCTTGCTCTTGGTTGTTTTGCTCCAACTTGATTTTATCCTTATGGCCTTCATTTCATTACAAAGACAAACAGGAACTGTTCAACACTGATTTCACCATGTTCTTCAACTAAGGGAACATTTTTCATTTCTTGGTTTTCATTTAATTGAATTGTTTGTTGTGTTGCCACAGGCCATGGGGACTTCACTTTTTTACAAAACGAAAGAACTGTTTGAACTTCTCAGTCAGGCCAGGTATGCTCCTTGTTCGTTCATTTTCACAATATTTTTGGATCCAGTTAGTAGTTTAGTGATGAACATCAGAACAATTTTGACCACCCTTCAAAAAAATCCAGTAAATTCCCTGTATTTCTTCCAACCATTACAAAAAAAATATAGAACTGTAAATCTCTCATTAAGAACCCATCAAACCTTGGGAGTGTATCAAGAAGCAGAAAAGCGTAAATCTCCGGCCACCCAAATGAAGAAGAAGAAGAAGTTCCCGCTTGGGATGTGTATCAAGACTGTATATATGCAAGTAAATTCCACGAAGATGACAAAACGAAGGGCATAAACCAGAACAAAAAGACATACCCCTGTTCTTCCTTTGCTCATCACCCTCATGATCAGCGAGTACGACTGGGATGTTGCTTGTGGTGGGTTGTTTCTGGGTGTTATTCCTTATTGTCAGCCATTGCCAAAACAGCTCGATTCTCAAATCTGTTAATCTGTGATTTCAGGGACTTCTGTGGGCTCTCTGCTTTTGTGTTTTTCCTTTGTTTCCTTCCTCTTTGGGTGTCAAGGGCAGTGAGAGAAAATGAAAAACTTTCCCGTGGATTGATTCAATGGGCAGACCCAAAGGATTTATACATGCCAAGACATAGATGATGGGTAAGCCAAATGATTGTCTGGAATAACAGTTTGGCCTAGGCTCTGCTTTGAACTTCTCTCTGCTCATCTCTTATGTGTTCATGAACTTCAAGAACATTTCCTTTTTGGGTTTGCATTTAATTGACTTTTGTATGTATGAATGATGAGTTTCTAAAGATATTGTTCCTAATCTTACTCGAACAAGAATTAGTTTTATCTCCTCATAATAGATGCAAATGGCATATGGGTGCCCCTATGGCCCTACCCATGAAAATGAACATGGGGACAGATAATTAATGGATGCCTTCTTTGACAATAATCTCACGACCTCTTTTTTTGACTCGCTCATCCTTTTGGTTGAATCCATGTCAATCCCTCATTTATGCCTCTACTGTAGCTTATGAACAATTCTTTGCTTTTCCCAGTTTCATCCTCTTCAAAATTCTCTCCCGCTTCCGATCCAAACAGTTCTTTTGATCATGTCTTCTTCTTCTTCTTCTTCTTCTTCTTCTTCACGCAGTTTCTTCTGCGCTGTAATTTCGATTCTAATCTCCATTTCCATCTCAGTCTCGGCTACAGAGTTCGTCTTCAACACCAATTTCACTTCCACTAATACTTTGCTCTTCGGCAACGCCACAATTGAGTCTTCTGTTCTTATTCTCACTAGA